TATTATTTACTGATATGCGCAATGCTGGTCAGAAATGTTTCTGAATGCTACTAATATCCGATTATGCCTTTTTAAACATTGACATGATCTTGATATGAGATGTTCATCTTCAAGTTACTTGGCCATTATTCTTTTGCTCCCACCTCAGGCAATGTTGATTTATGTGTAGCTTTTCGTGTTCATTCTATTTTACCAGGATTAAGAAGCTTACTGGATAATAAATTTTCATTCTCGAAAAGTTAAATAGTATTCAAAGGCTTGTAGAGTGTTGATAATGATGAGTATTGTTCTCCTGGTTGTGCCTTTGAAAATTGTTGGTGAATCAAATTCTTGGTATTGTTTCAATGACGTTGTGGAGTTTTATATTACGAGGGTGTTTGGTGTAGATTAAAATCAGATTTTAAGTGGATTGTGATAGAAGTTTTTTAAATGTGTGGTTGAAAAGACGTGGGACTCATGAAATATGTGGTTGATAGTGATTGTTTGACTTTGACTTAGATTAAAATCACATTAAAATTTGGCCCAAATAGGTCCTACAATACAAAACGTATGGATGCATCTAGTGCTCTGAAATTTATCAGAAAATTATGTAGCTTGTGGCATACATGGATATGGAAATGGTAACATTTGTGATTTACTCAATTATGACTTGTGTGTTAAATTATTTCTCAGTAGCTTCATACTCAGAATCAATACTTTTGCAGGGCTAATGCACAGCAGCCGAAGCTTTTCGTTGGGATGATCCTCATTCTCATCTTCGCTGAAGCTTTAGCCCTTTATGGTCTAATCGTTGGAATTATTTTATCTTCACGAGCTGGCCAATCTAGAGCTGACTGAGAATTGGCTTTTAACAAGTTCGACTGCAACGTTAGATGTTATGTTGAAATTTGATTTTTGGCAGGCTTCGTAAACTCTTTCATACGCTCCCTATTTATCACCATGAATGTTATCCATATTTCCATCGCATCCATTCCATGTTAGCTGCGTGGTGTTTGTAGAACTATTAGAAGTGTTCTTTTCTACTGAATAAAAGCTTATATGGTTGTCGCTGATGGATTAAGTGAATTTCGTTTCCTCATACCGTGCTTTATATATTAGATATGCAGAGATATCGTGCTTCCATGAAATGTATTTTATTTGTATTATAAAAAGTCATCTTGTCCAAAACATAAATACGTCTTATTGTTCTTTATTACATGGTGTTTACTATTTGTACGAACTCCTCCCATTTCCTTCTCCTAAAGCAATTACGGTTAATTCACTTCTGAAATCAATACATTAAGACTTCACTTTTCTTTTCTTTTCTTTTCTTTTCTTTTTTTTTTCTGTGTACCATGTATTCTCCCACGACTTGCTGTTGACCTCATCCTACGGTTTGTGCTCATTTGCCATTGTAACCACCATTACCCCATTTCCCACCAACCGTGAACCTTTGCACCACCATTGCCGTCACAGTAAACCACCACCTTCTAAATAGCTACCACCGGAACTCTACAAAAAATCACTACAATGAAATTCATCCATTTCATTGCTTTAGATCACCATTTTTGCCGTTGAACATCACTACAATAGAGATTTAACATCTCGGATCATAAAAATTTTCAAATGAAACGCTGAATAGGGAGATATCAATTCAAGAAAATGGTAAAAATTAGATTGCCGCTGTGGTGAGATCACCGTTGTGAGAAGGAAGAGGAGGTGGTCGGCAGTGATGACAATGAACAGAGTTTTGGAGGATTGGAGTATGGTTGATTGGGTATCTATACTTTTTGAAAATAAGTAATTGAGAATTAAAGACACTATAAAATATAATACAATGAACAATTGTATGGTGATTTCATGATAACATCACATAATTTCCTCAAAAATCAAATGTAAAAAGGTTTTTTTAGGATGAAAAATTCTATTCGACATATTTTGGGCCTTAGTGGACTTACAGCTGGTGCTGTATAAGGATATAACCTTTTGGGATAATTAGTCCAGTACGGCCAATTAACTGAAAAATTGACTACTACCCTCACACTTTTAAAACGTCCATTAATCCGTATAATATATGCTCGCTCAGATGCAAAATGAATACAATTCAACCCCAACCAAACCCAAAATCAATGATTTCTCTCAACCAATTTTGGGCGATTTCAGACACTCTCTCCTCCAACACGGAGGACTCAGAGGTAGCACAGCTTCCTTTCTTTTTCTCTAAATAGATCTTCAAAATCAAATCAAGAAAGTTAAAGAATAATGTTATTGAGAAGCTCTTCATCACCAATCTTGAATTCATGGATACCCAATTCAACAATCGGGCCCGAATCCGATATTATACCGCGGCGGAGGAAGAAGCGTGTGTGGTGGTGGCAGATAATGCAACTGTGTCGCAGGCTTTTGTGATGGGCGGTGGAAGCGGAGTAGGTGGTGGCGGAAGAGGGTCGGATGATGGGTTGGGGTCTGGTTCACAAGATCCGAATAGTTGGAATGGGAATGAGAGTACAGATTCTTATTATCAAAAAATGATTGAAGCAAATCCTAGCAATTCTCTCTTGTTAGCAAATTATGCCAAGTTCTTGAAAGAGGTAAAAGGAGATTTTGCAAAAGCAGAAGAGTATTGTGGCATGGAAATTTTGTCTAATCCCAGTGATGGCAGTGTTTTATCACTCTATGCTGATCTAATATGGCAAACTAAAAAGGATGCTGCTCGAGTCAAAGCTTATTTTGATCGAGCTGTTAAAACTGACCCCCAATGACTGTTATGTGCTAGCCTCATATGCTAGTTTTTTGTGGGATGCTGAAGGAGAAGAGGAGGTTGAAAACCAATATGAAATTGACGAAACTGATTTTCCTCCCAAGTTCTTCCAAGAGGCATCTCGTTTGCCTCCCCTAGCTGCAGCTTCTTAATCTAAGCTCACTGTGTTATGGAATCCAGCTTCTTAATCCATTTACTTTCATCTCGTTCGACTTGTGAACAGGGATATGAAACCCAACTTGTTAATTAGAGCATATAGACATCTTTAACTAGCTGATTTTGGTTTAGCTCGTATATTTGGGAGCCAAGATAGAAGGTTCACTCACCAGATATGAGTCAGGAAAACCTTAGTGAGAGTGGATTATGACAAGGTGGAGGAAATGGTGGAGAGGGATTCGAGGGATATGTGCTTGGAGAGGCATGAGATGTTCTTAAAGTAATATTGTTGGAATTCCAACAAGTATAGGAGTGGGCAGCTGCGAACATGGATATTGTTTTGGTACTTTTTGCCACTTGCTTATCGTGTTTTCAATGGTTTATTGGATTGATGAATTAGTTTGTATGAATGTTTGTTGCGTCTCATTATGGTTCATGATTATAGGGTTTTTGTTAAAATTGTTGGAAAGCAAGAATTAATTGGTTTAGTATTATATGTTGCTGCATATAAACATGTCCAGATACTTAATATTTCTTGATTTTCGAGCTTTTTGCATGTAGAGTTTGCGCAATGGTTCAATGAATTAAGCTCTATAAGCATAGTTCGTGTGCAGTTTTGGATTTTGTATCTTGTTGATAAACATATATTTTGGTAGTAACTTGAGATGTCAAAGGGGCTTTTTTGCTCCAAACAAATCCCCTATAGAAGCAAATTTAGTAACCTTGTTAGAGTAGGAAGAGCATCTTCGATTTTGCCATTCAAAATATTTGACTTGTGGGTTTTTTTCATCTATACAGTTTTAATTGCCTTTTCAAGTATGTCTGGACAAAGGCAAGGTTTTTTAATGTTTGTCACTTTCTTTTAAAATTCTATCACTTTTTTTTTTGTTTCGATCACTTTTTATAGTGTTTCACTTTTTTCTTTTACTTTTTTGGTTTTTGGTCACTTTTTTTACTAACAAAAAGATTGTGTCACTTAATTTTATGCAGTACCATCTAGATATGTCAAGTGACTTGTCAATTTTTTAGATTGTCACTTTTTTTAGTTTTTTGTCACCTTTTAATTTTTTTTTTCACTTTTTAAGAAGATAAAAAAGTGAAATAATATGTTATATTTTTCTAACATAATCAGCATGTGAATTGTCCTAAACGTGCTGATTATTTTAAGAACACGATTGCGGGTGCTACACAAATGGATGGTGGTATTTTGATATTTGTCCTTTTTTTTTTTTTTAGTTTGTGTCACTTTTTTGTATTTATGTCACTTTTTGAGTGGTTGCGTCACTTTTTTTTAAAAAAAAA